ATGGGAAGCCGCGACCGTGTCAACGCAAGTGAAGTCCCATACCACAGGTTTACCGTATTTCCATGGTATGAGAGATATACCATCTGGTCGTTTACCATCATCTCGACTGGTACCTAAGGGTTCCAGAATTGCAGGAACATCCGCTGACAACATAGCTCGTTTCAATATGTCGTTCACTTGGTGATATCGAGATGTACGCCGTGCACTTCTCCTGCAACTCAAACCATGTGTACCAAAATATTTTTGTATTTTTGGTTTCCTGCCATTTCAATAAATGAATTTGTCGCCATTGATCGTCCACTTTCGCAAATAATTCAGAACTTTCATTTAATTGAACCATAATAGATCTTCTTTGTTATGACCAAGTGCTTTTTTGACACTTATTAGCGAATTTTTGCGTTTCCTAAATCCTCTAAGCAAATTTTCTCCAAGTGATTTTTAGGACAACTCCCAACTGATTCGTAAGGAAGAACATGTTTCACAAAATCTCCGTAAGAACCATTTCTCAAGCTGCAATCGATCCTTCCAAGTGATGAAGGGTTTCGTAGAGGGATCAATTTGGCTTTTGCTTCATGAAGCTCTTCCACTGAAAAGGAACTGCAACTCATATTTGGGGGGCAAGAATTACCTCAGTCCATTGACCGTAATGAAAAAGACGAAGGTGGATCAATCACTTGCGAATCAACCTTGATAGGAGACTGATGAATATGCACATATCTCGGTTTGTTTCGGAGACATTTCAGTTCCAAACTGAAATGACGGTAATGCATGATTTCATCAAAATTATGTGAAGGAGAATCGTTCTAAGGACCGAATCAGCATTACTACGTTGAATAGCAATACTAATTATTTCTATCAAAAAAGAGGTACAACGATGATCTTTTGTTGTTTGGTCTAGTCTCCTTTCGAGTTCGTGAACAGAGACTTCGGGCCATAAACACCAAAAGTTTCAACCGCTACTGGATGAAACATATAGTTGTTACAAAGATTCTGGTATTTTTCCATTTAAATTTTTTTCCAGACTTCGAACATTCGTCTAGATGAGAAGCCGCGACCGTGTCTATACAAGTGAAGTCCCATACCACAGATTTACCGTATTTCCATGGTATAAGAGACATACCATCTGGTCGTGCACCAACATCTCGATTGGTAGCTAAGGGTTCCAGAATTTCAGGAACATCTGCTAACACCATAGTGATTAAAAATGTATCTAAGCGGATACGATATTGATCTTCATCGATTTGAATGGTACATTAGTTACTTCAAGCACTTTATACATATTATGTAATCATCTTTCACACCAAACAATTCAAATTCTCATCTCAGGATTATAAATAATAACTACAAATAAATAAATACAAGCGTGACGTAGAAAGTTTGCGATTGTTTGACGTTGTTAATAACCTGAGAAGTTGAAGTGGCAGTTTTATTCGGTATTGCATTTAGTTAGATAATTCTGTTTGTTTCTGTTTTTTTTTCGTTAATCAGCTATCGCACCACTACGAACGACAACATTCAGAAGTCGAAACTTGTGCGAGCAAAGGATTAACGAGGTATTACCTTTCAACGTGTGTTTCCTAATACGGGTTGGACGATAGCAAGTGAATATCTATCGTTCATACTAGGGTTCGAACCATCGACCAACACGGCAGTCAATTCGAGTGAGTGAACAAAGCACCCACGCCGAACCGCTTACACATTCCAAAATTAAAATTATTTGTTGAAAACGTACTTTTGTTTGATTGAATTTAACACTACAACCTTCAAGAATAGGCAACTATGCTCTGGGTGGAGTACAGAATTTAAGGGTTATTATAACAGAATAATTCTGAATCAGAAATTTCATTTGATTTTCTGTGACATCGAAGAGGGATTATTTTCAATGACCAGAAACTCAAATGATAAAAGTGTAATAGAAGGCAAATACTCATCTGAAATTATTTAAAAAAATATATTTTCATGGACATTCACATAAACTAAGATGTCCCGCCCTATTGAACACTATATCACGGAACTCTCCTGAATTCCCAAGATGAAATGATTTTTCCACAATATTCCAGAAACATTTTCCATCGACGTCCAAGCTTTTTAGTCGCAGTAATTGTAATTCCGTACGACCTCCACATCGAATCAGTCGCCCTGTGACATGTTCTTGTTGGCCAGACATCGTTCACGTTGAAAAGCTTATTTAGGAGAATGATACACAGAGGACCACGAATGCCCAGAGGACTCTTTTTTCGAATTCGATCGATGTTCATTATTATTAAAAGGCCAGATACTTTACCTTGATTCAAGTTCTTATTTTCATAATCCAAGTTATTACATTTGAGTATTAGTGTATTTCAAATTATTTCCAAACAGCGTAACTAACCGGAAACCATCAATCAACAGGAAAAGTACACTGAAAACAGTAAATAAATTAATAAAACATAATAGAATATAATGGAACAGATTTAAATTACAAATTTGTATGAAAAAATGTTGGTAAACACTGATACAAGAATTTGATATTTGAAAAATAATTAGAACACTCAGTACATGATTTAGGTGCAACTAAAGAGTAGCCAATTAGATGAATGAATTGGAAAGGAGGTGTCAACAATTTGAACGTGAAGAATTTTGAATTCAAAATTATACAAATTGAAAACAGAATGTACATAAAGGTGATAAAAGTTAATCATTATTATTATTGTATATTGGGTAACATAGTTCATAAATATAAGCAGTGAAAATAGTGAAAAGTACGGAAATTCAAAAATTTCAAAAAATATTGCCATGGAAAAAGGAGAGTTGTTGTGTAACCATGGGAGAATCAATAAAAAGAAAAAAAAAGTGTGTTTGGGAAGGAGCTACACGAAAATTTTTTGAAGAGCCCAATAAATTGAAATACCACTCCTATTTTGCAACCAATCAACATAAATCCTTGATAAAAAAAAAGGAAAAAAAACGTACCTACATTAAAAAAAGAAAGGATACTTACTGGAATTTCTGAATTTTTGGAAAAATTCCATTTCCACTTCAAAAGGAGCCATTCCTGAAAGCTGAGCTTGTATAAGGTATTAATCATCCTCAATTTAAATTACAAAGCCTTAAGCGGAATCCAATTCGAATGATATTTGAAGAATTCCAATCTCGAAGTCAGAAATTCATGTTTCCATTCACATCAGCCTTTTAAGTACGCAAAACGTATATCATTGAACTTTCTTGCACTCACTAAATTAATAATTTGATAAATATACTGCTTTGAACATTGAATAATTGGAATTATTATTCATAGTTGTGGGTAAATATTGTTAGACTCCATCACATCACGAAACACAGATTTTTTTGTGCCTATTGCTACGTATGAAGGTATTATAACATCACAGAACATATTCTAAGGATATTTATTTGAATATTTATATAGGATAAGCTATCTGGCGCAGTTTAGGGTACGTAAGTAAGACACAAAATTCTTGAAAAACCCTTTCCAAGAATTCTACCTTGAGAGAGAGAGCTGCATGAGCTACCAAACTGAGCTGAGCAAACTTCGAGGATAGAGGTAGGACGTTGAAGTAAGATAAATATCTGCCGGAGCATAGAATTCTTTTCTTTCACAAAACTTTAGAGACATTGAATTAGAATCAGAACCAAAATAAATCAAATTTGAAAATAAAAAAAAAATAATTTTTTTTTAAATCACAATTCCATCATCATAATTCATAGCAATATGTATACAGGGTGTAACTGAATAAGTGTAAAACATTTAAGGAGGTGATTCCGCATCGAAAAAAGATAGGATCTTTCATATAAAGAAATTTCATTGGAGCATCCCTTGTTAGGATACAGCCCCTTAAAGGGAGTACATAATATTTGTGTAACAATTTTTTCACAAGCACTAAAAAAGTTACAGTATTGAAATCAACCTGACGTTTGGTACTACCAAAAAAACACTTAGCCAGTAATTTATTTGGTTTACCCCATGGTTGTACGGGGTGGAAAACGTAACCCCTAAAATTTATTCCCAATGTAACTTTTTGTCTTATTATTTTTTTACCATTTAAAAATTTATTTCCGATAGCCTGTTTCATTCTAAACAAAAAATGTCTCCTTAGTTTTTTGCCCAAAATAAACCATTTCGCAGCAAAAAATTATTTTACGAACAACTACAGAAATACATCGTCATAAATGCGAAATGGCTTAATTGTTATTTTTTAGTTAGTGCCTGCATTAAACGATTAAAGGGTAATAAACAAAACTAATTTAATAATTACAAGACACACAACATGTAGAAATCATTGTAAATGTTCAATATGTATGTAGGTAGACACCTACAGACATTACGCATGCGTATAGACGTCGGCGCATTGAGCCACGTATTCGCTCAAATATTCCTAGAGTCTCTCTGACTACCCTGCACGCATCGATTATGCGGTTTCTCAAGTCCTCTACATAGCGAACAGGAGTACGATAAACCAAATGCTGTAAATGGCCCCAAATAGAGAAATCGAGGGGATTGAGATCCGGGGATCGAGCCGGCCAGTTCTGTGGTCCTCCTCGACCTATCCACTGATTTGCATATGTTTCAGTTAAAAGCTGACGTGCTTCTTGACTGAAATGGGCGGAAGCCCCATCATGCATAAAAAACATATCCCTTCTGACGCCCAAAGGAACTGGATGCACTTCTTTCAAAAATTGAACGTATGCCTCACCATTTAATCGAGGTGGTAGAAAATGAGGCCCAATTAAATCATCCCCAATAACTCCGAGCCACAGGTTAAGAGAAAACTGTTCTTGATGTTTAGTTTCAACAATAGCGTGAGGGTTTACATCAGCCCATATGTGGTAATTATGAAAATTAATAATCTTGTCCCGAGAAAAACTACATTCGTCTGTGAATTCTATCGTCTTCAGAAAGTAGCTTCGACATTGGCCGCGGTGGTAGTGGCCCGACTCATGATCGGAAGGCCGTGGGTTCGATTCACGCCTCGACCAGATATTTTTCTTGAGAGAATGTATCTGGTTGAAGCTGGGATGATTCTGTAACCGTGTTAGGAATCACGCGTTAAAAGGTAAGACCTCGTTAGTCCTTAGAAGTTTCTCAACTTCTGAGAGTTGTCGTTCGTATGGGGGTGACAGCTGATTAACGGAAAAACATATTTTGAACAGATTTTAAACAGACATTCTTATTGAGTCATATCTTATTACCAGGTAAAACGTTTCGCGTTAATTGACTCTTGTCGAAAAATACTGTCGTATGACTTGATTTGACATTCATATAGTTATTTCACAAGATATCGCTACAAAACTCATTTACTTTTTGGATTTAGCAGAAAATAATGAAATAATCAGTGTTTCAAAGTTGAAAATTGGTAAAAATAATCATTCAACTTATTCATTTATATTTTAAAAAATTACATGCTTCATGAACTTGAAAAAAAAACAGTAAAAAAAGAAAGTTAACAAGACAATATTCCAATTTAATTTTTTTTTTCTTGGAGATTTCAAATCAATTCATCTCTGGGCTAGAAATCAACATTCTATCTGGAAGGCTATCAGAACTTCATTATTAACACATATTTTGAAATGGACTTCCATTCAAAATATGTCATTTTCTGAAAGTAATCGTATTTTCTTCTTTGTACCCTAATCGTGAACAGATCTTCTCATAATTTTGTTTGAATTCCTTAGCCAAGTTCACAATTTCTGGTGATGTATTGTCAAAACTTAAATCACTGCTAGAATCAGAATTCATGATGAACGCCGACACATTTCAAACTAACGCATTAGAAATTGAAATAAACACAAAAATTAAATTGTTGACAATAAACGACAACCGACATCTTGACAACATATATCATTATTTAAAAAAAATTGTTGTCTAAAATGAGAAAATTTTCAAATTACATTTCAGTATTGAGAAAAATTATACTATTTTTTATAGATAAATATTTTTCAGTACAATATTATATAATGTACATGTAATTTTTGTATACTATACCAAGTGTTCATATCGGTTAGATCACCAAAAACTGTGTATTGATATGTTGTCATAGAGAAATATTAATTTCAAATCTTCTTCTCCTTACGTACTTCCCTCAATCATTATTCAGTTTTATGAAAATTGAGGCTGTAGATATTCATAGAATATTCATTTCAATTAAGCTCAATATGTCCCAAGATTCCAGTCACAATAATGGCCAAAACTATGAATAACAGCTATTTGTTATGTAAGATGAAACCAAACCAGCCATCAACCTTGATTACAAACATCAAGTTCGCAAGTAAGCGTATTGAAACGTCTGTAGTTCCAGGGTATTGTGAAATTGGAACAGATCGTAATTCAGCTCGGTTTCCTTGTTTAGTATTGTAATTATCATCAAACTCAATTGCTGTCTGTTGATTTCGCATGCAACCCCTACGCACACATCTGCTCGCAGACACCCTGTTTGCTCATCAAGTGACTGTTGATTAAGGTGATCAGTCGACGAGCGATAAATCGAGTACCTTGATGAAGCCTTAGGTGTACCGTGGTTAATTATGGTTTTGGGGATAATCTTATGTTGAATTGAAATATCTAGTTCAGTATTGACGATGGTTAAATTGAAATATTTAGTTCAGTATAGACGATGGTTCAATGGAAATATTTATTTCAGTATTGACAATGGTTGAATTGAAAAAATGTCACCAAGTTCTATTGATTTACCTTTGCTTATTTTTCAGGTCGTGGAAGGTTATACATCCAGAGAACAGTAAAAAACACTGAGTCCTCCACAAAAAATGGATTTCAAATAATATTATCAACACTGCTTTTCAACTTTTTCAAATAATATTAAACTTCATGTAAAGAACCAATTATTCTTTTACTCTATTGGAGATATGCCCTGCTTTTAATAACAAGTTCATTATAGCAAAAAGATAAATTGAGGGAGTTTATGAAATTTGTTTCGAAATTTTATTTTAAGCTCAGATCACTATTAGTCACAAGATTTAGTAGGATGTTCCATTTTGCAAAACTTTGTAAAGGAAGGAAGTAGTCTGCGACTTTTAATGTTTTCTGGTGTCACTAGTAGATATGTTATCTTTCTCATCAGAATGTAAATAATACATATGAAACTACCTAAGTCATTAATTCACCGCGTTTTGCGTGGGTTTGTAATAGTTATAGCTTATACCAAATTGAATTTGAATAATCAATCTCCAACAGTGTAATAAGTTGCTATACTCCAATACGCTCATTAATATGATAAAAGCCGTTTATTAAAACGCCTTTTATCAATTGAATAATTTCATCTACAGTTAGTTCTCCTCCTCCAGTAAACATTTCGTCTAGTAGGGTTCATCATGTTTCTATAGAAAGTCATTGGCGGGGAATACAGTGATCACCAGTGTACATTGAACTGATCGGAGAAGGGGCAGAAGTAATCCGAGTGAAGAGCAAAATATATACATATAAACGATTCTTCTTAACTTGTTGTAGTATTCTGTCCCAGTGAGATAGTTAAACAATTCACTGAAGCTTCGAAGAGTCTGTAATATTAAGGAATCTATTATAGTTTTGTTATCTCTTATGTTCTGTTAGCATATACATATGTTATAATTTCTATAATTTCTATAATTCAGTTATGCCCAAATTTTTACAAGAAAAATATTTCCTAGTCGATAGTTGGGATAATATTTACTGATAGTGATAGTGAATATGTCTAATCGATCCTCTACTGCAACCCTCGAGAAATCATCCAGTTTTTTAACGAGGCCGATCAGCCAGCAAGAGTCAGACACTGCAAAACGCCGAAAACCTTATCCGATCTATTACCAGGGCCTGAGATATCCTAGGAATTATCCTCTCCAAGGTTCGAAACCTTGGCTTATTTCCTCCATCTTGTGAAGACCTAATTGGCGGTCAATCTGCAATTATCTTCTTCAGGTAAGTAAGTATCACAAATATGTGAATTGAGGAGTAGGTCTTCTGTGACGATAGAAATCATGAAATTATAAAACAACAACAAAAATTAATTGGCGCTCTAGGGCGACTTCGTTGGTTCCAGTGGCGCATTCGCTTTTTCAGCTGCAGGAAACCCTGGAAAAACCTACAACACCAACCACATCATCTGAAGATCTTGATCTGACAATATCCTCTCTCTCATGAAACAAAATGTAGGGTGTCTCCAGAGGCTCCAATAAATTCAATACATCAAGGCGTAAAAATGACCAGATTCAACGCCAGAACCACAGAAGAACTGATAAGCTCCTGCTCTTCATCCAATATTAGATGGAGGGCAAATGGAGTAATTTGGTCAACCTTCATTTAATTTGTGAACTCATAAGCCGGAGAACTCGAAACCTTTTTTATCCATCATTTTTCACACGAGGGGTCATTTAGTCGACATCAACCTCCTCTATAGACTCACACTTCAGAGTGAGTCGTCATTTAGAAAGACTCTTAGCTCCACGAATAGCATTTCAAGCGACAAAGGTATTCTAACGTCTCCCGGCCATTTAGGCGGATTTATACCAGGGGATGAAATATAAAAGAGTATTTTTTATATGCATTACATCAAATTGCGCCTCCATTCTAGCGCAAAATGATTTTTAATTCATTAATTCAATTAATTAAGCTAAGCTGAGTTTCGTGTCGCACGAAGATACAAAGATGCTATTTTATAGCGAAACATGTATCACGATTTTGTAAAATTTCAAGTGGGAATCCTATTTCAAAGTGTATTTTTTCAATAGGTTATGATGGATTTTCAACAAGTATCATCAGTTCTATCATATTTTTACAAAAGAAATTGATTTTCTGCAAGAATTACTATTGTGGCACTATTACTCGTTGAATAGTTCTCTAATATTTAAATCACCTACGCATTTGACTAATACTTTGTTGATAAATTCGGTTAGCAAGTGAAAAAAACTTGCTTGATAATAGAACAATATTGCAACCAAAACAAATATGTTCATGCAGAAAAACAACCATCGTCGAGACATTAAAATTGCAATCGATTGAATGCTTGTACTGTAATATACAAGCATTCAATCGATTGGCGGGTTGGCTGATCATCTCACACACACTTGTTCTTCTTACACTGCCTGAAACACTGTGCATGCTATTTTTGGTGAGTGCATTGGCTTGGGACGAGGGGGTTGAGCAAACCGGCCATCTGATGCCTGCTTCCACACAGCCCAGCCCTAAGGTGTGTGTATCCGACACTGAGCCTATCAGCTGTCTCTACGGAACCTTCGAGATACCGGGCGCACTCTTGTCGTAGCATCGCCTTGTCACGGTAATGCGGGGCTCTGCCGTGATTGACCTTCTTTTCCTAGCTACTTGTGGGACTTTTATGGACAGAGTAAACTTAAAAAAAAAATCTGACGCTGAGTCTATAGAGGAGATGGATGTCGAGCTTACGACTCCAACTGACCTTCCTCTAAATTTAGATCAGGAGCGAATCTACAGAGGCGATGGATTTGAATTTACGACTCCAACTGACCTCCCTGTAAATTTAGTTCAGGAGCGAGAGCTCCTCAACTCCCCAACTCCTGATCCAATGACTGAACCTAAAAAAAAATGTTTGGTGGTGCAGCCAGGAAATGACTGAGTCGTCTCCTCAAGAGCGGGGTACCTTATAAAACCGCCTTGCATCAAATTCTTGAGCGGTGTACACAGAATCTGTCTCAGGTGGAGGAACAAACCCCCCATGAGCAGGTTAGCAAACGTTTGCGCTCAAGTGATGATTCACCAAAACCAGAGGCGAAAAAGCACTGCATAGTTGAATCTAAGGCATCGTCAGTGTAGCTGGCGTGTAAAAACCCTCATATGGAAAGGTTGTCGAGGGAATCGTGAGAATCTTGCACCTTGACTATCCGACTACCTCAGTAACGATGAAACAGCAGACCATATACTTTGTGCCTGTCCCGCTGGGGACCGAATCAGGTTTTTAGAGTTCGGCAGAGCCGTACTCTTACCATCTGACCTGAAAGACCACCCACCATACAAACAAATCGGCTTCGTTAAGATTTATTTGGTCGAGTGTGAATAGGTGTGAGCCACAATAAACCCTTGCGGGTTCGGTGGAGGGTCGAATAAACCCACTCACTTTGGACCTAACCTAATCTAATTGTAATATAATTTCGATTTATAATGATTGAATAAATATATCTAATGCGACCATATGTTTACAAAAAGTAGAAAATAACAATAATATAAATGTTTTCTTGGATTCAAAACAGACTGCCGAATGGACCCTTGTTTATCTTGTATGAGGATATTTGATTTTTCTATCAAACCCATAGTTGGCGTCTTTCCAAGGGGAGACATCAACTTAGTCTCAGGTGGAGGGAAGTGAATCCAAAAGTGAGTCCAACAATGCATGATTCAGCCCAGCACTGGTTCTGGAGGATATTCGTGCTTACTTATACCATCTTTCTACTCAATAATACAAACGAATTTGAGTTTTATAAATCTACAACCCATTTTCAATAAGAGTACTACGAAAGTATCACATTTTCAATACATTTATTATAGTTAAACAATATAAAGAGCAGAAAATCAATCAATCAATCAATCAAACATTTATTGAATCAGTGTTCATTTACAATCACATTAGGCAAATATCATCATAAAATACTGGCTGATACAACAGGTCAAACTATTATAGAAAAACAAATACAAAGTATAACTTAAATAAAAATAAAATCACTAAGCTACAATCAAATTATGATTATGACTCAAGGAGAAACTCATCCACAGAGTAGTATGCTTTTTGCAATAGAAAAACCTTAAGCTTCCTTTTAAAGACATTGATGTTTGAGGACTTAATGTCATTACTAAGTTTATTATATAGTTTAATCCCACAGCACATGGGGTAATTCTTCGATACTGTCAATCTACAATAAGGCTGATAAAGTTGAAGGTTATTTCTGGTGAAATGTTCATGGATTTGCTCATTTCTAGGAATAATTGAAATATTTTTTCTTATATATATATCAGAGTTTGGTAGATATACAAACTAGGCATTGTTAATACACTATAACGAATGAATAATGGCCTGCAGTTTGCACTTGAAGATGCCCCAGCCAGAATTCTGATTACCTTTTTCTGAATAACAAACACTTCATCAGCTTTAGCTGATAAGCCCCAGTGTTCAAGACCATAGGAAATCACTGACTGAATTAAACTGTGGTATAAAAGCATGAGAACATCAAAAGAGACTGTTTGTTTCAACCTACGAAGTAAATATATATGTTTACTGAGCTTCAGTTTGACACTATCAACATGGACACTCCAGGTAAGTTTATTATCAATATCAACACCCAAGAATTTAGTCTAATAACTTGATGTAAAGTTTCATTATTTAATCTTACCAAATAGCTTTTATCAATAGTTATATTTTTAGTAACAAAGTTGAGCATTTGAGATTTGGCAGAATTTAGCAGCAGACCATTTGTAGAACACCACTCCTCAATTTGATTAGTTACTTCATTAGCTTTGACAATTACTTCGGACATAGTTTCCGCAGATACCAAGATATTAGTGTCATCCGCAAAAATTATAATAATGGAAGCTTTCGAACAAAATTTCGGAAGATCGTTAATAAAAACCAAAAATAAAAGAGGTCCTAAAACAGAGCCTTGAGGTACTCCTCTTACTATACATTTACTTACAGAGTTAATTCCATTCACACAGACCAGCTGACTACGGCCAGTCAGGTAAGATCTAACCCAATTCAATGCAGGACCACGTATACCATAAAACTGCAATTTGTGTAGCAGTATGTCATGGTCAACGAGGTCAAAAGCTTTGCTCAAATCAAAAAATAACCTCAGAGTTTGCCGTTTGT